CGAAATATTGCAAGTTATTTTGAAAAGCTTTTGATATTCAGACTTTTGAAGCTTTTTGAAATAAAATTTTTGGAGCCTCAAACTGTTGTTCGACATTCAGAAATCTTCCATACTGTCGACATCAGAAGAATTCTCGGGAACATGCTGAGCAGTTAGAGCTCAACGAGGTCCTCAACAGATTGCGTATCATTACGACGCTATCGGAAAAAGTTGGAAGAGGATCTGCTGGTATTTACAGCTAGTCCCTCTAAGAAGCCAAGCCAGTAAACCGATTGACGAGAATATGTAGCAAATTTGAGCTGCAGCGGTTACCGTAGGCCCGTAAACTTGCAGGTGTACGTCATGAGCAAATTTTTTTCCTGGCCATCCCTGTATATTTACTTTCAACAGTATAAAATATTTTGAAAGAGGATTCGACGATAAGTTTAAATGTCGAAGAAGTGCAAATACATCAGTTGAAAGGCAGGCGGGCCTCCTCAGGGCTCATTCCCAGTGGAGGGTACGTCCCCAGCGGCCTAGACGGGCCATACCCGCGCCGCTAGCGCCGCTGTCTGCCCGCCCTGCTCCCGTCGGACTATAGCCGTTTAGCAGAGATGGGGTGAGATAGAGAGAGCGTAAACGTTGAAGATGGCAGCACTGATGGAGTGGCACCAATGCGGAGATCAACGGGCAGAGAAGGGGCTTCACTCCTCGGTTTCTGGAATGTTTCTCATGCTTCGTCCCCGCACCACTGACCGCCTCTACCATGATTTTTGAAAGATTGCTTTTTCATTGTAAACTCCGCCTTTGAGTGATGTGGCGTTGATATTTTGTTTCTTCATTATGGCGTACTTTGGTCATCATTTTTATTCGTGACTGCCGCGGCGCCTGCCCATTACTGTGCCATCTGACCCGTTTTTCAGCTGATGGCCACGCAACATCTTCTGCTCCTCGCCGTTGTTACTCTCGTGAGCTGCGTAGAATCAAGCGCCCTGCCGGATCGGACGACGGTAGAATCACAAGAAGGGTATGTTATCGGTCGCACCACTTATTTTTATTTGAATTCCCGATTTGCTGATCTACTACTACTGCTACGTAATTCCTTATGTTATTTGGAGGGAAAAGTAAACTTCACCGAGCATATATATATATGACTGTGTCCGGCTTTTGGTGCAGATTCGGATGTTTTTATCTTTTCCTGACGAATGGCAGGAAAGAAAGAGTGTAGGAATGAAGCCGCTAACGGTCCTTCATTTTGAAGGATTCTTTTAGGGAAGTTGGAATTAGAGCAGATCACACGAACACTTGCTTCCTCTTACTGGCAGAGCGCCCTTAATTCTTCTAGTGTCATCCATACTTCATAGGTAGCGCATGTTTCGCGCCACCCGCAGAAAACGCAAGTTCCGCACCGAGAGCTGCAACGGAAGCCCGATTTCTTCTTCTTATTCTTCAGCGTTTGTCCCGCTTGTTGGCGGGGTCCGCTTTTCTGATGTGCTGTCGCCACTTTTCCCGATTAAATGCTTGGTCGGGGTGGATGTTAACCAACTTCAAGTCTGCGTGCAACGTATCGAGCCAGCGCTGTTTCGGGCGCCCCTTGGGCCGCTTTCCGTGCACGTCTATGTTGAGGCCGATCTTGCGAACACTGTCATCATTTCCGCGAAGAACGTGGCCAAACCAACGAAGCCGAGCTTCGCGCATTTTATCAGCAATGGGAGCTACACCAAAGCGTTCTCGTATGACATCGTTCCGGACGCGATCTAATCGCGTGACACCAGCCGTCCAGCGCAGCATCTTCGTCTCCATTACACCGAGGCGAGTTTCAGTGTCCCTGGTCGCTGGCCAGCACTCAGCGCCGTACAATGCCACTGGTCTTATGACTGTCCTATAGATCTTCGATTTTAGGCGTTCTGGGATTTTCTTGTCACAGAGAACTCCCGTCATAGAACGCCACTTGGACCAAGCCGCACTCACACGCGAGTTCACCTCAGTACTCATACTGCCATCAGACGCAATTGCTGATCCAAGGTACTTGAATGTCGTTGCACGTGTCAGCTCTACTCCATTTATTTTGATAGAACCGCACTCGCTCGTGTCGGTTGTCAGGTACTCAGTCTTCCTAACGTTCAACCTGAGTCCGAACATCGCTAGGCGATCGCACCAAGCTTGCGCTTGTTGTTCGAGTACGTTTTTGTCTTCGCAGGCGAGCATCACGTCATCAGCATAGAGAAGCGTCCATGGAGCCGGTTTCTGAAGATCTCGTGAGATGGCATCCATGACGACAACAAAAAGAAGTGGGGAAAGCGCAGAGCCCTGATGTACCCCAACAGAGATGGGGAATTCCGTCGAAACGCCAGCTGACGTTTGCACTCGGCTCTTTGGGCTCGAGTAAAGCATGCGAACCCACTCAATAAGCTCTTCGGGACGCCATGTTGTCGTAAGGCGTACCATATTACTCACGTGGAACGCGATCGAAAGCCTTCTCCAAGTCTAGAAAGGCAAATGCACCGGCTTTTGTTTTTCACGGTGTTTTTCTAGCAGAAGACGAGCGGCGTGTATGGCATCAATGGTGCCGCAGCCAGTCACGAAGCCGCATTGGTTCACGGTAAGCTGGACTATGTCACGAATACGGCGATCTACAATTCGTTCGAATACCTTCATGCTGTGGGAGAGCAGACGAATTGGTCGGTAGCTCGTGCAATCTGCAGGACTCCCCTTTTTCTTCCAAATCGGGATCGTCGTGCTCTGTTGCCAACTCTCCGGCACTTTCTTTTCTGCGAACGACTTGGTTGAAGAAGTTCGTCAGCCACTCTGCTGGAACCAGAAGCCCGATTTGTACCAGAGAAATTATCTGCAGTCGTCGTTTTCTGCTCTGGCGCTGCCTGATTTTAAGTTCTCCTTTGCTTACTTGCTCCTCCAACGCAATCTAGTAATAATTTCTCTGGTACAAATCGTGAATTTTACGGTACCCGACAGGGGGTCCGTCGCGCCGCGAGAAGGCAAGGACGCAGACGGATCAGCGGACGAGTTGCAGCAACGCGCTGTGTGATATGGGACGTGCTGTAGTACATTCTATTGAACATGGTGCGAAATGCGCAATGCATGATGCCACTCCTCGTCCCTTAACCCATCTGCGTTTTTGTCCTACTGGCTGCACGACGGGCCTACTGTCGGGTTGCAAATTTTAATAGAAGTACAGCTTACTTCTATAAATATTTCTAAGTTGCCCATTATCTACAACTTACCAATTTCCTGCTTCCCATCATTTAACTACCTTGACCAGCGGAACTAATTCGCTATTTTGAGTGGTTTTTCTCCTTTTAGTTAGAATCATTTACAATGTTAATTTCCTTTGCAGTGTTTCACCTATGCTTACCATTTTTTTATTATACACGTCATACGTTTTCAGAGTTGAGTTTTTCTAAGAAATTGGTTTTAATGGGTCTTATGAGATTTTTCGATGGGAGTATCTCTGTTCTTCGAGATTTGTTTTCAATAGAACCAGGGTAATACTGGATAGTGGCAACTTAAAAATTTTACTAAAACAAAATTCCGTTAGCACTATTTCATTAATGAAAATTATATGAGCAATGACTGGAGTGATTACTCACTAAAGAGCATAAAAAAATGAACACTAGAAGAAGGTCGTTCGTTTCGTCTCATGATCGTTCAATCCCTCACTCTTGTGAAGTCACTGGCAGTCGGCGTTCACTATGAGTATGCTGACTCTTAAAACGTAAGTAAATGGTCCCAAAACAAATGCCTTTACGATTTTGTAAGGAAATCAAATACATGGTTTATGATAGAGCTGTTTGGAGGCAGGTGAGTTTTTGAGGAAGGAGGAAGGCAGGAATTCCGGGGAGCATGAAATTGGCCACCTGGCATGACTCCTACTCCGCCTAGCCTAACCCCATTTTTAACAAAAAGAACATGTTCAGAATGCATTGCCCTCGAAATACCGCGTATTTTGCGATAGCGTCCGTTACTGTATCGATGACCACAACAACTAAGCCCTTACGCTATAGAAATAACTTCTTGAATTTTAGTTGAAGTTTCAGGTTTCCTGGTCACGTGGCTTTAAGGCCGGACTACGCATTCTGGAATATTGTGAAGATGTTGAGGAATTTTATGGATTCGAACGCGGAACGGCCAGTCCGTAGGGATTGTAAGTCACTTGCTCCCTTACTCGTCACACACTTGATGCATATTTGCAATTTGAAGAGCACCTGCCTCGTGATTTAGCCAGTTTTTTTTTATTTTTTACTACTTTTTCTTGCTCTAAATTTTCTACTTCCTTTTTTGTGAGGCGCCTATACATTTCACGTGCAGAGCACGCTACCTCATGGGGTTGCTTATTAGGACGTGCTTGCACTCCGTGGAAGGGTAAGCGTCTTGGCGTACAAAACAATCACGGATTGGGGGTCAGATCCTAAATAGAAGCTCGTCCAGGCCAACCAAGCCTTCCGTAATTCTATTGTCGCTCAATCGTGCCCGCTCCATCTAGGAGGATTAAACCACTCATTTCTTCATCGACTGTCGCCATAGATCATAGCATAGACAAAATTGCATTCACAAGCCATCATGGCTGTAGGTGAAAGTAGAGTTCGAGGCGCATCCGGAGAAGGGAAAATGTCGGACACTTCATTGATTGCTTAATTTCATGCGAACTATATGATTGTTCGATTTTCAGACCGATTCTGTGCACGTTTTCTTCAATCGTCCTTTTTCAGATTCATTTGGCCCTCGTGATTTGCGATCGGAGCGTACAAAATTCTTCTATTCAAGCTGACATTTCACTCTCATCGCCTTCTGTGATATCGTCATATCAGTGTCGAAGTGATCTCCAATGATTTTTAGACGGCTGTTAGAGCATAAACATCAGGCTCGTTTGTTCGGTTCTGACTTGTTCCTTGATATAAAGCTTTTGACCGAACTGCAATGGCAGTTAATATTTAAATAATGTGTTCCCAGTAGGACTTCTAACAATATATACACATAAAGTAAGCATTCTCTGCAATGAGTTTTGGCCCCATGGCTGCATTTATGTAAGGAGATACTGTAGGGGAAAGTGTACCCACTTAACACCTCCATGTCTGGAAGATCGAACCTTGGTCCTCATATGTAACAATGAGTCAACTGCTTTGTGGGTTCAAAAAGTTCCAAAATCTAGAACTTCAAATGGGCTTTGGTTCCACAGCTTCGAAATAGGAGGTTGTTTTGAAATTTGGCCGGGTTAGGGTATCTCACGCTAGAGCTCGGCAATGGCTCGTACGCGTTTCAGGTTTGCCCCTACCCGAGCTCTAAAACTTAAAGATGATGATCGCCTATTTTGGTGAGGGACCTATTTGAAGCTCTGCATAGTTCATGTGTGAACCCTACATATTGGCCCGTGCCTTGCGATCTGAAACCTGACCATCCTGGGCAGGACATTGATTTGGAGAAATTTAGCGACCGCGCTTCCTTGGCATTGAAACCTTCAGTTCGCAGTGTGGAAAAATTTTTTATCGCAGTCATTATTCGAACACACTCGACTGTTGTGTCTCTGTGTTGCAGGGTTCAAAGCCTGCATAAGCGCTCAAAAAAACAAAAAAAAAAAAAAAAAATAAAAAAAACCCAAAATCTCTAGCAGGCTACCCTGGAAAGGTGTGGAGACGGATATCGAAGCCACCTCGATGCGCCCCCCGAAGGAGATGCCTCGCCCACAAAAGGAGCTCGTGCGGTGCATTCAAAAGCGGCGAGGGTAGAGTTTGTGGTAGATGCGTGAATATTTCTACCTACTGATGGCAAAATGATGTGGCAGGTGATAAAATACTCCTTAGAGTCAGAATCTTCTCTGAGTTTCAGTAGTTTATGCCCATTCTGTATATTGTGACAGGGCGATAGCACCCAGCGACTGACAGCTTTAACATGGCGACAATGGCGCCCGATGTCGGGCGACACCCCCAAATTATAGAAATGCTTGGATTTTTTTTCTTTTTTCACCACTTCTTTATTTATCAGGCTAATAATTCATTTGCATTAGGTACTTCACTTGATTTGGTTTTACTATATTTTGAAAATAACAATGAACATAATATAATGCAATTAACAATTACGATTTCTCGCATGATTTGTGGCGTGTCTGAAAGCACTCGATACAGAAGAAGCCTTCGCACTTATTACATTGAGTTCTCACTTTCTTAGTATGGCATTTAGCGTAATAACGCCCATGTTCGTCGGAAAGTATGCTGACCACTTATCGATAGGCTGTAGATCGCAGGCACGTGACTCTTACAATCAATATTATCGGGAAACTCAGTGCTCATACATAAGTGTGAAAGTATAACTCCTTATAAATATTACTGAGACTTGGAAACATCAAATATTAGTATATACAATAGTATATAGAATATTATAATTATTTTAACACTCTCATAGTATGGGCTCTTATCAAGGCTGCTGAGCAACTTGTGGCGCCAAATTGGCGCCAATTTGGCGCCACAAGTTGTCATATTCGTGATCAGGGCCGTATTCGTGCTCACGGCGTAGAATAACCTCTACTTACAGCTTTTCGCCGAATCTGACATGAAAAGTATTCGTGGCGCCAAGATGGCGCCACGCTGGCGTCAAACTGGCGCCCAGTGACGCGAGCGCTCTGAACCATTGCCATATTCGTGATCAGCGCATTGAATTTGCTATATCTAGTAGCTTTTGCGATAAATTTACTTGCTGGTTTTTCGTGGTCCCACGCGGCAGACACCCCAAAATCCGCTTGGTCGCCAACGTGTTAGAAGAAGATTCATGGTTTTCGTTTGCTAACTGCCGTTTTAGCGCGGGCGTTCGCGTGAGTGTATCGCAAGATAATGCTGAGTGGAAGACCACAAAAATGTTGCCCCTGAGTGGGACTCGAACGCCGCAGCTCTCCACGTATTTCGCAGATACGCCTACAGGTGGCGTACGAGGTACCGCTACACCTTAAGCTCAGCCTTTTATTTTCGTATATCTTTGTTGCAAGCATGCCATGACGCGACACTGCGACGTACAGCAGTCAACAAACAAACAGCTCATTAATTGTTAAAGCTTGCGCCTTGCGGTTCGCTGTCGAAGTGGCTTGTCACGTTAGGCGTGTGAGTGCTGATAACCTCTGGTAAATATACCACAAAAGCTGGTTAGGGTGAAACGTTGCCCCGGTAGCGTATCTTGTGGCGCATTTGCCCAGTAAGTGAGAGGTAGAAGGTTAATTCACGCCTTGGGCGCGAGCGCCTTGTTCATAACCCGGTGATCCTTTTGGAAAGTTCAGTCGACGATAGCGATCTATGGGGACAACAAAGTTTTTATCTCTCCTTTTCTTTTAACTGTGCTTTATCCTTATCCACTAGTCCATTTCGCTTCGCTAGGCTAAGTGCACACGCAGGGCTTTTTGAGATATGAAGATTTTTCGAGATTTTTCGAGATTCCGCATTTTGCAGAATTCTCGAAAAAAAAACATGTTTGAAAGCAAGCCAATGATATTTTGGAAATTTTTTCCCATTGAAGGGAAAGTTTATGGTACAGTCTGATGTCATCAAGGGGATGTGTGAACTCTTCAGAATTATCCATGATGGTCAACAATCCATGGGTCTTTTTGATACCTTGTTCGTTGCAGCTTTATACAATTCTTTTGAAGACGGCGAATGCGACCCACGCATTTGTCGTTCCACACCCCGTGTGAAACTACCCCTTGAACAAATGATTTTTCCCACGTTAAACATAAATAGCACGTTCTTTGCGCGCTTGTTGAGAAGGAAAAAGCACATTCTAGCAGCAGCTAAAAGCAAAGTACGGGAGCGCGACTTGTAGTACAGACGCAGGGCCTACCATTTGGGAGTGGACGGTTCAACTGGGACTATTGTGAATTGTAGTGATCTCAGCTTCGAAAGGGGTAGTAGCCATATGGGTGAATCACTTTCCCTTGTGCATAAAAGATAGGGAGACAGAGTGTGAATTATGCCTTTGTACATACGTGTCCTACTATAAATAATTCGCTAACTATGTATTTCCGTCTGTCAAGAAATTCATAGCTCTCACCCTCATAGTGTCAGAGTTGTTAGAGGTTGATTTTAAGGCAGCGGAACGGGGAAACATTGGTGGCTAGTAGGGGTGATAACATCTGATGAGGGGATTAGAACGGAATCGTCGTGGAGTTCATTGCATGTGTCGCTAAACTGAGGGTCGGCTCGATAACTGAGGAACTCGGCTCGTGCGTGCACCAATGTGGGCAACATATCAAATTGCCTATTAAATTCATCCACTGCGCGCACTCTTCAGCATCAGCACGTTATGCTGCCGTAGCAGTTCGAGGCGAGTGCAGAGCAGGGTAGGGAGTTGGAGGAGAGAGAAACCAAGCGCTCTTGAAGCTGGGACTTTAATGTATTGAGGTAGCATTCCAACGTGATGTTATGATTGCGACAAGCTTCCCACCAAGCAGTAGTTTTCCGTAATCGACCATTCGTCATGGTGGCATAATTGTTGCTAGAGGAGAATGGAGGGAGAAGCCGGGGATTGAGGGAAGAGCGAAGCGTCCTGTCAACAAACCCGATTCTCTCTCAAATCACGTGTTGAGCTCTCATTACACGTGACGTTGTGTATTGCAATGAGACCAATTTATCTATTTATACAACATTACCCTTTGGGGTTGGTGCTGGAACCCGACCCCCATGAGATGTTGACCTCGTAAGTGAGAAAATTGTATGGTATGTGCAGGGAATGAGAGGTCGCCGCGAACGCTTATGGTTAGGGGCAAAACTAGTGCAGAGAAATCAGAAGGTACAGCAGCTTGAAATGAAATTATCTTCCTAAAAATTAGCAATAGATTATGATAGTATTAGGTTGATGCATAATTATTGCGGCTTTTTTCGCGCGTTCTTTTCTCGAGAAGATTGGCGTTTGAGTTTCTGTTTTTTTTCATGAGAATATTCTTCTTTCTTCCATTAACAGAAATGCTTATCGGAAATTGTCCTCATCTTCACCACACATGCTTACTACTTCTATAAATGTTAGAAGGCGGCGGGGCCATTCCGCGATCTCATCAAACTTCTCAGCGAGGGAGCAATTAGCAAAACCCAAGACGAAGGATCGTTCAAGAAGTTTAAAACGCCACATCTACCGAGCGGAGCTCCTACAGACTAGCAATTCAATCAGACGTTGAAAAACTGGCAAACGAACAAATTTTAGGATGAGCTGGATGCGTTGGTGGCCAGTGTTAGAGCGTGGATCGTCTCCGAGAATCGTGACTTTTTTATCCGTGGAATCACCGAGAGAAAAGCAAATGGGAAGCATTCTTGTGGGATGGTGACCACGCTCCGGGGTTATTATTTAAACATGTTTTTGTTGAATAATTTTGTCGTTTTCGCTGAATAAAATCTGTTGGAAAAAGCCGCAATAATTATGCATCAACCCAATACTATCACGATCAGCGCACTCCGATACAATCAAAAATTTGCTAACTATGCGACAACCGTCCGAATCCTTACCGCTCCATAAAATTGCTTCGAGTGCCTCCTCGAAAAAATGTCACATGTTGTTCCTACGCTACTTTCCATCCTACTAGGTATGCCTTCCAGTTGTCTGAGGAAATGACAAGTTCTCGTTGACACTGATTTTATAATGGGTCGTGTAGAGTCATGATCACGCCCTGCGCAAGGCGAACACATTGCCGGATTTTCGCCTCCAAAAATGGAGCCTACACTGCGACGCATAATTTAGTTCCACCTACAAATTTCCCAAAAACTTGAATCTGGGGATGTTTTTGGAAAAGGCTCTACAGATAAATTGTGACACATATAAACGCGAATCTGAATATTAACACGGAAATCCAGTTTGAGAAAGCAACAATTTTTTATCCTTATTTTTTCGAAAATATCCGCTTTAGCTTCTCCGCTGCATTTTGCTTTTACCCAATCAAAATTTGGAATTATTATCCATTCAAGTTCCTTAGCTTATAGCAAAGGCAAAACCGCTGTCACACTTCCGTAAAAGGGAAATCCTAGCAAAAGAGACGCAGGAGTTGTTGAAGTGTCAGCTCACGCTGGAATTTGTCGGGGTGACTTCATAACGAACAAATTTCTCAAGGATGCTACAGGATATGACTGGGAGGAACCCTGATTACTATCCGACTGAGATAAGCGCCGTATCGTGAGAAAATGATATCCAGCCGGGTACTGAAATTGTAGGTGGAACTATAATTATGCGTCGCAGTGTATAAGTGAACACAACTTGGAAATTGTTTGACCCTTTGTGCATCTCCTACAAATTCTGGGTAAAACTCGAATTCACTGTAGGCAGAAATTCGTACACGGGAAAATAATGTGATCAACACTCGAGCTGCTTGGCAATATAATAATTTCGCTTTCCTTCAAACTTTTGAACATTCTGGAACTCAGAGTTCCAATCACGTTTTAACAAGACATACGGGAACAACATTCATTATCGCCGTCTCGAAGCAACAAAACACTTTAGAACTCCTCGCATGGCAGATATAGTCCTGTGGGAAGATGGAACATGCGGCATACGTTCTCCGTGCAACGACAGCGTGCTGAAAATGCACGGGAATTAAAGCGAAAGATGTTGGGAGATGAAAAAATTTGCAACGCACCTCCTCGAGTTCTTGATGCTATTTCAAGTCGCTTCGTTCGTACTGGCGCTGAAAGTAAAACTTAAAAAGAGCGTGATTTTTTATTCGAGGCAGAAGAAACTCGATCGAGGACTTTTCGATGGAATGACAGGATTGTTTTGCTTAAAGGCAAGATTCAGCTTAAACTGATGAGGTAATTCTACTCAAATGTGATGTAGGGGTGGGAGGTGGACCGCCAGTGGAGAAAAAAGAAAAAAAATCGTGAAATACACAGGAAAATACGAGCCTTTTGCTCTACGCTGCGGAGAAGTTCAAAAGGCCGGCAGGGAGATGAGAGATAATGTGAGCGCGGAGAGCGGTAGAGAAGTCCGAGAGAGAGAGCATAGCAGATCAACATTGCGACGCAGACAAGATATCGAGCGGTGGGCGGAGCGTGTCGCAACAGGTGGAGCGTGTCAAAGTCCTTGGCCCCTAGCGCCTTAGTGACGCATTTCGATGCGGGAACTTGGCGAGTCGCCTGCAGCTTGCGTCCCATGCACTTCTAGCCACTTTAAGGGCTTATTAGGTGGGTCTGAGCCCGAACTTTGCCTTTAATGGGAAGAAGGAGCGTCGTAACTGGTGTGCAGGACTTAAAGGACAAGGTACATAGTAGAGGGGGAAAAATAAATAGTGATAGCTTTGTGTACGGTTAACGGTTTCGATCATTGCTGTTTGTACTGCACTGTAGCAGCTCTTTCTCTGTGTGGTTAGGTTCCATAGAGTTATGTTACTCGCCAGTAACACGTCATGGAAAGCTACTTCAAGTTTTGCACACCAGTGTATTTAAGTTTTTAGAAGCTCTCAATTGCGAGCAGTGAGGTGGACGCTTGGGGATGAAATGCGGCTATAATAAATCTGCTCCTCGATTCAGCCACAGTCACTGTCACACTCAGTATGTGCACCGCCCCACCGAGGTTCTTTTTTTCGGAGGACCTGATACAGAGACATGGAGTATCCTAAGCTGACTACCTCCTCGCCGTAATAAACGCGCCTCCTTGGCGGCCAACTCGAGCCTTTGTTCAAGGGCATGAATATTGTTTCAAGGGACAGAGAGCGTCTTGATGGCTTTTTTTTGGAAAAAGTGTGTTCTTTGTAGTGTGGTAGCTGCTCTATGTATTGAAATCGAATAACATTTTGCCGTTTAACTGGCTGCCATAATTTTGCTCCACGATGTGCCTGCGCTCAAATAATTTCGGAGGAATTGGGGGCGAAGCCTCCCAAACCTTTCTCAGCATGTGGTTGTAGAAAATGGATAAAACGCAGGCCTCAGGTCGAGGTTTATGGTGAGACAGTTCTCGTATAAAACAACGAACCCTTTGTCCGCTGGGTTCTATCACTTGGTACCACCCAGATTTGTCTGACGGTTAGGACACTAGAACATATGCACACCACCTGTCCACAAGTTTTATGTATTTGTAGAGTTTGAATTTTCAGTTGCACTAATGCCGCGCACTTCCGCGTTTTGAGAAAGTTTTCAAGGCTTCAGAAATAACAGCCTTTGGAAACGCACCAGAGATGGAGATTGGCAACCCGTCGTCTAGGATCGGCTCTGTCCTCCAGCACTGATATGACGACGAACACGGCTTACCGAACTGAAAGTGCAACTTTGGGAACAAAGGTCGGATTTGTGCACCAGGTAGGAGTAGCAAGCAGTACTCACCTGAGAATCGGACTGTGAATAGGCGACAAACAGAGCTGCGTGCAGTGTCGCTAAGTAGACAAGGAAACCGTTCATTTGAAGCCTGGAACCACTCGTTGAAATTTGGCCTGACAGTATCTTTTTTGAATAAGACTTGAAGTCACGCGAACGGAATGATGAACAATAGAGAATGAAAGTTTCTTCAGGAAAAGGACGTAAGACAGAACACGACAAGCATAAAGACAAAGACGATGGCGAAATCCTCGCGCAACACGAATTGCTCTGCCGTTTGCGGATTCTGCAGCTACTGTTAGGGTTTACTCCATCTACTTCACAACATTCGACCTATGCACTCCCACCCAGGTCAACGCGAACTAGTGTCGAGAAATTTGGAAATCTCTCCATCACGACCTCCCCACCCCAGGCCGAAGGTCCAATGAACCAACCTCTTCAAAGCCAACCATACAAAAAAGGTTGTTTAGACTTCTCCCCCAAACTGCTTGATAAAAAAAGCCCTGCTACCCCACCCTCCCCCAAAAAGGTCGTTCAAGGAAGAAAACAGTAGGAAAGGTCAGAGAATGATCATTATTAATGAGTCCTACCAGACGAGCAAACGAGAAAAACGGGGCAAAAACGACAAACTGGTAACTAAAAATGGTATACATCTCTTCTTTATTCTTTTGACGTTTTTGTAACTGCTGTTTTTGGCCGCAGTCGCCTTGCGAATGTTTCACAACCCAGCATTCTTGTGAAGATCTTCTTTATCCGTTTCCTCCGCAAGACTTACCAATTTTAGCTCTACAAAGAGTATGGTTCTCAGTTTACACTCCCCTTTCGCTTGAAAGAAGCCTTGCAACCGCCTTCGCCAGCTGTGTGTTGACTGGACTTTGGCGTTGACCGTGGAGCAGCTTATTTACTATTGAAATTTGAACAAATATTCAAATGATTATAACTTTCTTCAAAGTGAACGAATTTTCAATCTGAAAGCAGATTTGGGAGTTTGAAGAGCTCTTTTCTAATCAGTATTGAAATTACAAAAATTTATAAGAAATAACAAATTTAGATCAATTAACGAGGAAAATCGCTGATGGAGTGGCGTTCAGTTTTTACGTTTCCAAAGCCATAACTTGCTTCATTTTTATCAAAACTGATAATATAGCGTCCAAAACTAGAAGATTAGCTTAATTAAATGTTATCTAGAATTGCTAAATATGTCACTATTCAAAAAATGGCCCCGTCGAGGATTTTTGCTCGAGTACCGCCGAAAGGTACTTTTTCTCTGCATTGACACTGTTTCAGCGACTGCAGTTCCTTTCAGAGGCGATTATATAGTGAACTAGGAGCAGATTTTGAATCCTCGTGCTTTTTTCATTCCAGGAAGTGTGAAAAATTAGGCGTAAATCTCAACTTTGAAGGGTACATCCTCATGAATTTGACGCTGAAGACCTCGTTTTTGAATCACACCCTGTAATTTCACACGGACCCTTTCAGAATCCTCTTGATTTTTCCTGAATTGAGATTCTTTCTCCAGAGAGCCGTAGTTGAAGCGCGCAAACCAACTGGGCCCACTCTGGGATGCGCCGTGTGCTTCACATCCCTTCAGATTCGAGGACTCACTTGAAAGATAAAATATCCCTTGGAAAACGTGCGAATTTCGGATTCTTTAACTTGTGTGGTGATAAAACACTGAAGTAACTAAGAATTACTACGCGGACACCTCAGAATCACGAAAATTTTATGTGGCAGAAATAACATTGTTATTGAAAATCCTCTAGCCTGGCATCGAACTCGATCCTTGACGTTTGTCCTCCGACGGTGATGATCCTGCTCCATCAATCCGGCTCCCACTCTCTTTCCTCCCAGCGGGCCAATAGCGACCGCCTCTGACATGTTCGAGGATTCTCAAACGCAACGTTTACCCTGCCTCTGCCACCTCCCCACCCACTCTCACTATTCAATCCTACTTTGGTAAGTTTTATTCCCGTCTCTATTTCAACGCTCGACCTCTTCTCGTACGCTGCCTATAACTCCACAACTTGACACATCCTTAACGGACAGGTTATATTCCGTCCATCCGGCGAACACTAAAGCTGGCAAGCCGCGATATCGCGTTATGTATTGTTAACAGCGGAATGAGTGAGACTGTCTATTGCCGGCTAACCAGCCGTTAATTGGAATAATAACCCAAAGCCTCCCAGAACCAAATGGACCATCTCACGGTTACTATGAAATATGCGTGATGGAGACTTTTCATAGCAAGGTCTAGGTGAATCGATCGGGGTCCTCAAGAAACTTTTTTCAGGTTCATATCGTATTAGGTCGCGTCCTCACGAATTTTTTGAGAACCTTTGGTGGTTTTTTTCGATTTATTACTTATCTTATTTCTCTGATCTACTTATCCAGCATAGTATACATCATTATTATTAACAACATATCGCCAATGCGAGGGTGGGTATTCAGTGCCTCTCTTGTGGACTTTCATAGAGTTCTGATCGAAGGAAAATTGTAGTCCCGAATCAGTTCTCAACCCAATCCGACATCATCAAGTTCCTGTAGGTTTCCTATAGTTCCTTCGGATGACCATCTATAATACTCATTGGTGATGTGGACTGGGTGCAGTGTGCTAACAAATCCACGAGCCGCAGTAGATTTGCTCAAACGATTCGGGAGTTCTGACAGTACAAACCCAACTCCCTCTGAATTCGAACTTCCTGAGTCGTTGGCGCAATACGGGAGGGCCTTTGCGCTGAAGACCGGCATCAACTAATACCAGTGTCAGTGATGGGAAGAATCGTTGACAGCTTGATGGCAACGCCTTCAACTTGAAAGCAAAGTTAAATTAAAATCAATCTATTTTTTCTCTGAGGTCGTTCGAGCCCCGCCTTGCTAAGAAAATTCCTAAAAAATTGGAGACTCTCGGGCGGTCAGTTCTTTTAGCTCCGCCTTGTAGCACTAATCCTGCGTCAACGAACGACTATCCGCTCTCCTCTCTCAATCACCTTCTGGAGAAGAAATCTCACTTGAATCACCATAAAGTCAAAATCGACATCCAATATTTCTTCGATCAGAACTCTATGAAATTCTACAAGAGAGACACTGAATACCCACCCTCGCATTGGTTATATGTTGGTAATAATGGTGATGTATACTATGCTGAATAAATACATCAGAGAAATAAGATAAGTAATTAAGTCGAAAAACACCAAAGGTTCTCAAAAATTATGGACCGACCTAATATAATAGGTTATTACTGCATGTGATTCTGTCCGCAAGACGGGCAATTTGACATGTGTCCAGGCAGTGATCAATAAACGCGTCGAGGAAAATTTCCTCTGACAGGGGGTAGTTAAGCTCAGATGACAGTTGCGCGAGGGGTGGGAGGGGGTCGTAATCAAAAGGCTTAATCAACGGACACAACGGTGCTGCTGCCACTTATTTGCTGTCATCATTAGTTTCACAAGTGTTGTAGTTAGCCTAATGCAAATAATATCTTACAACTGTCTGGAATTAAAATTTAAATGGAAAGTGGTTGTTGGTTTGGTTCGTGTAGTGATCAGTATGGCATAGGAAGGCAACGCGTCCTGCAAAAGAATCGTAGGGAAAGGGCAGCGAGTATCTACTCTAGAATGATGTACATGCTTCGAGAACTTAGTGGAGGAACAGCATCTGTAGAAAGTTCAAAACAGGCAGATTCGCAGCCTTCTTGGCATCATCAGATCCTGCAACCGCAAGCGTGTCATTCATCAGAACGGGTTGGAAAGGAAGCGATTTGAATAAAGGAATGATCAGACATCACTATGACCACAAGAGTTATTCTAATTAGTTAATACTGGAAATATCTTTTGGTGTGCTTAAGCAAGTCGTCACTAGGACAAAACACCTTCCCAATGACTCCGAGTGGGGTCACTGCATGGCGCATACAAGAACGGAATGGATCCGCGCCAAGTGCATCATTTTCAATTTACTCCATCGAACTGACGCGTACAGAAGTATTTTGAAGGTGTTCAAAGAAGTTCCCTACTACGGCAAGGGAGTAATAGAGTTTTCGAGTGACTTCGAAAATTTCCTTGACATTTCCTCGACGCAGATTTCTCGCGAACTAGAAAGCGTTCGAAACAACTGGAGCACCTATCAGAAAGCGTAATCTTCTACTTTACAACGCTTTCCTCCGATTTTCAAAGCATTGCCAATGAAGACAGCTACTGTCTTCCAAAGAGTGGGAACTCGCATGTAAATTTCAATTTCCTCGACAATTTCTCGACGTCTCCCACTCTCGAGAATAGGCGTGCTTAGAAAACGCTCAGCACAATTTAGAAACTAGAAGTCTTGTGCATTCAAAAGCTGCCTTCACTTTCTGAAATGGTTATCAAATGAAGAAAGTTATAGTCCTTTGAAATAGGGGGTACATTTGACGATTTTTCCAACTAGCGCGCTCTAGGCACAGCGCGCGACGCGATCGCGGGTAGTTAGCGCCGCTATACTGGAGCGCGAGACTGTTCAACTGTGTAGGGGCAGTACCTCCTTCAATGTTCTACTTTCCGGCCAATGTGGCAAAGGTTAAATGTCTTTAAAGGAAAGAAGGAGAACCTAATCTGAGCAGAATTGAATCTAGGATCTAGAATCCATTTTGGATCAAGCCGCATTTGCGTGGCAGTGGCGCTGCGTCCCTCTCGCACATCTGAAACTAGCATTTTTTGATATAAAACCGGATGTGCAGAGGACAAAAAGGGGTCGTATCAGAGTCCATGTTTTGGAGGGGGGTCGTAAAGAGGCGGTTATTTCCTCGACACGATTTTCACCCTGATGGCGGTTAAAAAGTTGTCAAGAAAATGTCCATATAAAAGGAAAGTTGATATCAGAAACTTGACGCCAGGGCCTGTATGCAAATTAATGTCATATTTGATAATCAGTCACCTACATAAACACTGCAAGGGCCAAAGTTGGTATGGTGAAGACCGCAACATTCGCGGCAAATCTGAATGCGCCACTATACGCTGCTACAACAGAACTGATTGAAGTAGCGCACGACTTCAAGACGTAAATGCCAAGATTCATGCTGTCTCCTCCATGGACATTCTCACATTAATACAACTCAA